ATAATGATGACAGAAATACTCCAGAAGAAAACATAGACCTCACGCCCTTACTGCTGTTTCCAATAGGATATATTTTTGGAATATCTTCATCAGATTTGATTCTTTGTTTTTATTAGCTGTCCTTTTGTGTTCAGCTCCGGTCTGAGTAGAATGATGTAGCATTTTGGGGAAAAGATGCATCCCAGTAGCCCAGCACTGGAGGTTAAGATGGAGAAGATCTCCACAGCCACCATGGATTTCCCCTTGGTGCTCAAGTAGGTCGGAATGAAGGACACCCAAACACTGCAAAAGACCAACATGCTGAAGGTGATGAACTTGGCTTCATTGAAACTGTCGGGTAACTTCCTGGCTACAAAAGCCACGGTGAAGCTGATGATGGCCAGAAAGCCTAGAAAGCTCAGGACACAGTAATACATGGTGACTGACCCTTCATTGCACTCTAACACAATTTGCTCAGTCACGGAATGCATATCAAAATCTGGGAAGGGGGGAGACATTGTCAACCACACAGTACAAATAGTACCTTGTAAAAGGGAACATGAAATGACAATGGAACTGGACAGCTTTTTCCCTACCCATCTCCTCATTCTGGACCCTGGCTTTGTGGCCATGAAAGCCAGAACCACAAGAACTGTTTTGGCCAACACACAAGAAACAGCCACCGAGAAGATGATGCCAAAAGCCGTTTGTCGAAGGAGACAGGTAACCTTCCCGGGCTGGCCAATGAACATCAAAACACAGAGGAAGGAGAGCAGGAGGGAGATGAGGAGAGTGTAGGTGAGGTCCCGGTTGTTGGCTTTGACTAAGGGAGAGTCCCGGTGCTTAATAAAGATCCCGAGCACCAAAGTTGTGATGAAAAAGAAGGAAAGTGCAAGAGTGACCAAACTGATCCCCAAAGGTTCTTCATAAGACAAAAAGCTGAAGTATTTTGGCAGGCATAAATTCTGGTCTTTGTTTGGATACTGACCTTCAGGACACCGAGAACATTCATTTAAGTCTGAAAAAGAAAGCATCCTTTTTGTACATGCATGTTTTCGGCAAAGTTCATTGTGATGTACTAAGCTTTCTGCCTTTAGCAGTACCCTCAAAGCAGTGCCCATAAAGCATGCAAGACTTCCCTCAAAAGGTAAAGATAAAAGTTTCCCTTGCTCAAAAGCTAGTCGAATCCAACTCTAGGGGGCAGTGCTCATCTCCTTATCCAAGCCAAAGAGCCAGCACTGTCCAAAGACATTTCTGTGGTGATGTGGGCAGGATGACTAAATGCAGAGGCTCACAGAATGCTGTTTACTTCTCACCAAAGCGGTACCTATTTATCAACTTGCAATTTCTTGCTTTCAAACTGCTAGGTTGCCAGGAGCTGGGGCCAGAAACGGGAGCTCACTCGATGGAGTCTCGAACGGCTCAACTTCCAGTTTGCAGTTCAGTGCCCTACTCTTGGTATAATGAACGACATTATTTCCTGTAGAATTTCTGGATATGCTGCACTTCTTCGTCCCCAACTAGGAAGACTTGCATATCTTGGCATCTTTCCCTTTGCATTAATAAGCACAGATTTCAGGAGAAATGCATTCATCATTAAGCTACTGAGGCTGCCATCCTAAGAACACTTTCCTGGAAGTAAGCACAATTGAATAGAAATGGACTTTCTTCTTGGTAGACCTGTCTTGGATTTCTCCAAGTATCTTGTCAAAATTTCCCCAAGTGTCTTCTCAAAACTCTTTTTCCCAACACAGGCTAAGAAGTGTTGCTTCAAATCAAAGTTACAAAATTCTAGAGAGAGACTAAATCTCACCCTAGCCTTGGTAGGTTCCACCAGACCTTTCAGGCTATCTCAACAGCCCAGGAGTGAAAGGACATGTCTCCCAGTTTCTCAAGGAATTAACAAGAAAAGTCCGCCCTGCAGAGTGGGACTGCAGACTGAGTCCCCAAACAGAAAACAGGTAGCTGGGACTTCCGGATCCAGGCTCAATGACAGAGGGTGTGTGTTGAGCTTGCTCCTCTATCCTCTGATCCTTAACTTTCTTAAGGCTGTTTTCAAAGCCTCAAACTCCCTCCCGAAGAGAGGGGTGTGGTAGGGGACTTGCTTGATTTAAGCCTGAAAGAGTGGCGACTCTTGGTGCTTAGCTAGGTGTTCTGAAACAAGAAAGTGAATAGGAGCCCCAATGAGACTTTGAAGTCACAATGAGCACAAGAGGAGCCCAGAGGATTCCATAGAGTCAGAAAGCAACAACCCTATAATCCAAAATCAACAACACAAGCTAAGTATATTTAAATAAAACTCACCTTAATTAAGTCCCAATGAGGGACAGGATTTATGCTGAAAAAAAGTTGGCCCTCCATTTGAAAACGAACTAAGAAGGATAAGCGGCTAGTAAAAATAAATAAGGTTAAGTGGCTAGTAAAAATAAAAGATGATTAAAGGAGGATGGGGAAAAGAGATAGGAGCAGGATTTAGAGCTTGAAACTACAAAAGGGTTCCCCCCCTTCTCTTCTTTCTTTTCTCTCCAATATATGAGTCTACGTTTTTAAACCGAGCAGTGATTGATGGGGCATATCGAGGCAGGGCATAGAGGCGGCGGCAGACTGACATGGCAGTGACAGGAGTCGAGAGGAGAAAGGCAGATGCAGAGGAGTTACGTGACATGATAGCGACCGGAGCTGTGCAGAGAAAGGCGAATGTGGAGGAGAAAATTGGAGGTGGCTGGAAAATTGGAGGTGGCTGGTGATGTGGCAGCGACTGGAGCCGGGAGCAGAAAGGAGGGAGCAGAGGATTGACATGATGTGACAGCAACAGGAGCCAAGCAGAGAAAGGTGGGAGAGGAGGAGAAAATCAGAAGCGGCTGGATACATTACGTGTGTGGGCACTGTACGAACCCCTATGAAATAAAATGGATGAAATAACAACTCAATTTAAAACAGAAACACGGGAAATTAAGAAAAAGATATTGGATAACAAACAAGAAATAATAAAAATATCATCTATACAGGAAATATTTAAAGAAAAATTAAAAGACTTAGATTTTGAAGTTTTAGAATTAAAGGCTAAAAATGAAAGAATTGAGGACACTCTCATAAATTTTGAAATGGATAAGGCAGCACTAATAATAAGGTGCCAAAATATACCAGAGAATATAGAGAAAAAATTGAAAGAAGAATGGGCACAACATTTAGCAGAATAGCTACAATTAGGTACGAGAGAAGAAATAAAGAATAACATTGAAGATATATACAGGAGAAACTCATCATATGCAAAGAAACATAAAGTTCCCAGAGAGGTACACATTAAATTGTACAGGAAATATATGAAAGAGAAAATACTCAAAGCCACATATGAAAATAAAGTTACCATTCAAGGAGAAGAAATCAAATTCTTAAAGGAAGTCCCTTGGAGAGTAAGGGAGAGAAGGGCTCCCTATCTTAAATTGACAAACCTTTTGAGAAATAATGGAATTGTCTTTAGATGGTTGGTTCCAGAAGGGGTGCTTTTCACTTACGACAGTAAGAGGCAAAGGATAGATTCAACATTTAAAATTGAATACTTTCTAGAGAAACATGGAGAAGACTTGGGGTTTCAAAAAGAGGAAGAAGAAGAGGAGAGAGAGGAAAATAGGGACTCGGAGGAGGAAACTTCAGAACAATAAAAAGGGGAAAGTAAAGAAGCTGCTACCAAAAAGGGGAAGAAAAAACCAAACAAAACTACTTATCAGATTTTAACTAGATTTAAGGAAGAGAATAAAGGAGGGAACAACAATAAATAAACATTACATCGACTAAAAAAATTAAAATATTATCTACTAATATAAATGGGCTGAATAGCCCACAAAAAAGAAGAAAAACATTTAATCAAATAAGTAAAAATCAAGTGGACATTGTATGCCTACAAGAAACACATATAAAGAAAGAAGATATTAAATATCTGACAAATAAAAAATTGGGAAATGCTTTTATAGTGTCAGATCAAAAGAAAAAAGGGGGGTAGTAACATATGTGAAAGATTATTTAAACCCTAAATTGTTAAATGCATCAAAAGATGGAAGGATAGTTGCAGTTGTAATAACAAGAAATGGTAAAGAGACATTGATAGTTAAGATATACGCACCGAACCAAAATCAAGAAACCTTCTATAAATCAAGAAACCTTCTATAAAGAATTACAGACAATATTAAATCTGAAGTAAACTGAAAATATATGTCTAGTAGGGAATTATAATGCCATACTTGACCCTGAAATTGATAGAAAGAGTAACAGGAAAAGGAACAAACCAGGTACAATAATGCCAAGAAGTTTCTTTAAAATAGTGGAAGAGTATAATATTATTGATGCTTGGAGAACTAGAAACTTTTTTAAAAAAGAGTTTTTACATATTACTCACCAAGGCATAATTCTTGGTGGCGAATCAATATGATCTGGATAACATCCAAGATGATACATGAGGTGTTAGAGTGTGAAATTCTACCTAACACATTTGCGGATCACAGCCCTATTATGTTGACTTTAGTGGATGAACAAAAGAAAAGCAGATGGACTATGAACTAAGGACTTCTTCGAGACCAGGAATTTGTTAAAGAACTAAAGAAGAGATCGTGGACTTCTTTAAAAGAAATATACAACCTGAGGTAAAGATTGAAATAGTTTGAGATGCATTTAAAGCTTTCATTAGAGGTTGGTTTATCAATCAGAATGCATGGAAAAAGAAGCAAGATAAAAAGAAATATGAAGCTTTAGTGGAACAAATAAAAATAGAAGAAACTAAAATGAAAAACGCTACAGATGTTATAGATTATAAATTTAAATTACACCTCCTTCATCATAAATTGATTATACTCTTGAATAATGAAATAGCAAGAAAAATTGAATTCAAACAATATTACTTTGAAAATATAAATAAACCTAATAGATGGTTATCTTATAAACTCTGGAAAGAAAGAAAAACGTAAGATACAAGAACTTAAAAGTATAGTGGAAGGGTATTATAAAGAGTTATATCATCAAGAACACCAGGAAGAACAGCAAATTAAAGAATATCTAGAAAAAGGGAACTATACTAAATTTAATGATCAACATAAAAAGACTGAATGAAACAATTGCAATGTGTGAGATTGTAGAATCAGTTAAGAGGCAAAAAAAGAAGAAAAAAAACGCCAGGTCCAGATGGTATTCCTGTGGAATTTTATCAGATATTTCAGGAACAGTTAGATGTAACTTTAAAAGCCTTATTCCAAAAAATAGGAAAATCAGAAGAGACACCTGACTCTTGGAATCATGCACTAATTACATTAATACCCAAACCAAACTCGGAGGGATGTGAAATTAAAAACTACAGACCTATATCTCTTTTAAATTCAGATTATAAAATATTTGCTAACATATTAGCGCACAGATTGAAAACAGTCTTATCGCAAATAATACACAAAGACCAGATGGGTTTTTTGCTGAAAAGACAAATGAAAAATAACTTGTGCATAGTTATCGACGTATTAGATTATTATGAATCACACCCTGAAAAAGAGACCGTGCTAATGTTTCTTGACGCTGAAAAAGCTTTTGACAATTTATCCTGGAATTTCTTGTTACAGAAGTTAGATGTAGCGGATTGTGGAAATCAATTTTCGCCTATAATAAAGGCAATTTATTCAACACAATATGCTAAAGTTCTAGTAAACGGAGATCTGACAAACAATATAGAAATACAGAAAGGCTCGAGACAGGGTTGCCCACTATCTCCATTATTGTTTATCTTTGAACTAGAATCATTAAATAATTCAGTAAGAAACAATGAACAGATAAATGGCTTAAAAATAAGAGGGGAGAAATTTGAATTACTGGCATTCGCTGATGATCTTCTATTTATAGTGGAGAATCCTAAAAAATCTATTAATTTTTTGATGGAATCAATTAAAGCATATGGTTCAGTAGCTGGCCTAAAAATAAACTTGAAGAAAATGAAACTTTTATTAAAAAACTGTCAACCAGGTACTGCACAAGAAATTCAAAAAATAATGTCTATGGAGATAGTGAAAAAGTGAAATATTTGGGAGTTTATGTAACTAGCAAGTGTAGTTCTTTAATAGATGATAATTATTACAAGTTGTTAGAAGATATTAAAAATGATTTTTTGAGATGGAATGAAATACCATTATCTATTATGAGCAAAATTGCAGCAATAAAAATGAATATACTACCAAGATTCCTATTTTTTGCCCAAAATATTCCTATATTAAATTGATCGAAATTTCTTATGGAACTAGATAGGATTACAAGAAAATTTATATGGCATCCTAAAAGATCAAGAATTAAGTGGAAAGTTCTCCAAGACAGAAAGGATAAAGGAGGGATGAATGTACCAAACTGGACATTATATTACCAGGCAGCCTCTTTAACTTGGATAAAAGAGTGGATTACATTGGAAGACACTAGAACATTAGTGTTAGAAGGTCATGATCTTTGTATGGGTTGGCACTCATACGTATGGTACGAAAAAGAGAAAATACACTCGCTTTTTAATCGTCACATATTAAGAGGAGCCTTAAGCAAAATTTGGAATGAGATAAAAGAGAGATTTTATAGGAAAACACCAAGATGGGTCTCGCCACTAGACGCTTTTGTAAAGCCTTCACTTTTGTCAACAATGATAAATTAAAAACAGAAGAGAAATTGATGCGCGAACATCAAATTAACTTATCATGGTGGGAGCGATCTCTATTACAAGATAGGTATGGTAAAGACAAGCTAAGAGGATTTGAAGATAGGAATAACCAACTTGATAAGATCTGGTTATCATCCAGTGATTAATTCAGAAACTTTATAGATTCTTATTAGAGGATTACGAGTTAGATGAAAACACCAAAACTACAATGATTTCATGGATAAAGTATATGGGAAAAAACATGGAAATAGAACTATGGGATACAATTTGGAAATCTGTAAAATATATGAGACCTATATCATATAAGGAAAATATTTATAAAATTTTCCACAGGTGGTACTGGTCTCCAGATAAAAGTGCAAAGTGTTACCCTAATACATCTAATAGATGTTGGAAGTGTAAACTGAATGTAGGGACCTTTTACCACATGTGGTGGAAATGCAGCAAAATACAAAAATATTGGGAAATGGTACATAAAATTATTCTCAAAATTTTAAATTCAGACATTTTGTTAACACCTGAAATTTATTTGCTGAATATAATTCCAAATGGCTACGCAATGCAAGATGTATATTTATTAGTATATATTATAACAGCTGCACGAATACTACTGGCAAAAAACTGGAAAACGGATAAAATACCCTCAAAAGAGGACTTAATATTTAAACTCTTAGATCTTGCACAAATGGACAACTTGAGTTTATTGCTCCAAGGTAAAGACAATAAAATACAGAATAAAAGATGGTTAAGGGTATATAATTGGATAAAGCATGTAACAGATTAATAATATGTAAAACGTTTATAGTATATATAATGCATGTAACAGATTTATAGACCCTAGAAATTTATGTAATCTAAGAAAATGAAATGTTTGTAATCTTTTTAAAATATGAAAAATAAATGGGGGGGGGGGGAAGAAAAAAAAACAGACAGCCGGTAGGGGGTCAAAAGCCAAGACTCTGGAAGAAGGCTTTGTGGTCAGTGAAGGCAAAATTCATGACATGATTAAAAAATATAATTATTTATTTTATGTGCAAAAATATATTAAAAGAGGCAAGACTGTGAAGGAATAAACCAGATAAATCTAAGCATATCCCGCACAGCTAGTACATAGAGTCAAGGTTCCAAGTTACCTGACGTTGGTTCATCTCAGGCAATAAGCTCCAAGATACCCAAGGGCATAGCCCTTCCGAGCAAGTACTCGAGATAGATGCCAATAGCAGAAGTGGAGCCATGTAACCACTGATATGCTTCCGTACAAAGAGGTTACAAAGTCAGCCATATAGCAAAGGCTAACTAGATTTATGGGTCTCTGATTGACCTCAGGCCTGTTAGGCCAATAAGAAACCTGAGAGATGATGTAACTCTCTCGATGTTGCTAAGCATATGATGTATAAGGTGATAGACCAGAGGGAGGAGAAACAAAAATATACTGCAGTTAGGCCTCACCTCTCTTCCCACAGGTGCCCATACCTTCTGTTGCTTGGATTGTGCTAATTAGAAGACCAAAGTAAATTGGAACTCTGTAGCACCCACAGCTGCAAACCATTTAGCTGGCAAGGTCACTCTGCTCTAACTGCCCCTGGGAAGATTTCTGTAGGCCTTTTTGCAACCTGAACTAAAGATTTTATTTCACAGAGCAAAGCAAGAAACCATTTTTCTTTACAGGTCTATGTGCATGTGTGCATATTGAATTACAATCAATGTATCTGCTACTGGAATCTCTTACCTTTTTCATTTGAAATCTTCCCTGCTGGACATGCAAGGCAATCATAGCAGCAAAAAGGCTGCCCTTCCTTCTTTGCCCTGCTAAAACCAGCATGACAGTCCTCATTGCAAAGAGAAAGAGGTTGCACCTAGCCCAAATAGAAGACAAAAGGATTTGGCATGGCATGATGACATGGCCTCTAGAGAATGCTTGGAGTGCAATGGATGGTTGAGAGTTCTCCATCCAAAGCCTTTTATTGGCATATAGGTTGAGAGTTCTATAATACTTAGAGTCCTGTAGTAATGCAATGGGATGGGTGCAGTCTTTGGGAGCCTCTCTCTTTCTTCTGTGAAAGAGCATCATAATCTTTGATAGTATGGTTCTAGCAGTGGGTTTGAAGGACAGTTAAGGGACCTTCCTGGTCTACAGTTTTCTTAGTTCAGCAATATCCTCTCTGGGTGAGGTTGTTTATGTGATATGGATTTCGTGATGGATACTGCCACTGTCATTGTGCAGGGGTACTTCAGCACCGATGGCAAACCTGCCTTGTCTGGCTATGCTCAGGAGTTCTTGTCCTCCACAGCATCTAGAGGACTGTCTCATGTTGTACTAAACCCCACTAATAAAAAGGGACATCTGGCAGATTTACTCCACTGCATTGGGAAGCAGACTGGCGAACTGATGGGAATCTGCCATCTATAACTTCCCTTGTGAATAGGTCATAATCTATTGAACGCCTGGGTGCAGTTAGTTGTACCTTGCTACACTGGTGCTTGACCCCTTAAGATGGTTAATCCCCTTAGCCTTGAGGATCACATAGATTTCTGAAATGCTACCCAGGCAGAGTTTCAGTGTCCATTGTCTTAATTGGAACTTTCTGTAGAATGATTGTAATTAGTTGCAATTGTTTTAATTCGGTTGTTTGTATTTTCGATATACTTCATTTTTCTTTTATAGGCTTCAGTGAATACTTCAAAAAGTGGGACAAACCGGAGTTTTTAAAATAACTTCTGCCTTCTCAAGGCTTTTTTTTTCCCTTTAGGGAATGTATCCTGTTAGTTACTGTGATGGAATCTGTCATGTTGTGTTTGGTCAAGCTGTGCTCATTCATCAGGATACTGCTACAATTGGTAATCTTTGTCTATGCTCTATCTATATCCTTCAGTCTATAAATTTATAATCCCTTTACCCTTGAAAGCACACAAAGGAAACTACTTGACATACCCCAGTGTCAGGAGTGGAGCCCCCACGCCTCCCTCCTTCCTGTCAAGAGGGTCAAAGATGGGAGAAGTGGATTGGCCATCTAAGACCTGGGCCCCGATCCAGAGATCACCGGGAATCCCACGGGTCGAGCCAGGGTCTGGATTCGGGCACCAGACATGGACAGGCACAGGTCCAGAACACCTTTTGAAGCAGGCCCACCACCCAAGGAGGTGGGAAGGGCCAAGCGGGACAGGGTTCCCCTCAGGGATATGACCACCAACGGGTGGGGTGGGACCTCTGGGGGGATAATGGATGGGTGATTAGACCTTGGAGTGGATTGCTGTAAAAGGGAGGCACACACTGGCAGGGAATAAAAAGGCCAATTGCCCAAAACGCAGCCGGGGAGAATAAAGCCCGGTCCCAGGTGCCATGAGGAGGAGTGTGTGGCGTGCTGAGGAAAGGGAAAAAGCGTTAGGTGAAACACAGACCCTCAAACCCGGGACCAAGGCTGGGGGAAC